TCTTCCAGTACGTCGATGAAAGGGGGTGAGGGCCTCAAACCAAAAGATTCTGATGCTGTTCTTGTTGTTGTGTATTAGCTACAGTTGTCGTGGGATGTTTTGTGCAGGCACAATTGGGGATTGACTGTGAAGAAGAAAGCAGAGAGGGTACTGAAGCTGCTAGAGAAAGGACCGTTCCTGGAAGAAGAGCGCGATCGGCTTCGGAAGGCAACTCGGGGGATCGAAGGTTTTGATAGCTTCAATTTCAGTTGGCCACTCACCATTACTGTTGAAGAGGCCACACAAAACCACAGGAGAAGTATTCACAGACAACAAGATGATGCTGGAACAGAGGAGAGGCCCTCAAAAGAAGATTCAGATGACAGGCTATTGCAGATTGAGAATGGTGGATGCAGTGTCGGCATGAAGGTCCAACCAGCCGAGGAATTAATACCTCTTTTGTCCTGCGAAGAAGGGAGAATGATCCAAGTGTTGAGTCACCAATTGTTTTGAGTACAAGAGAGAGCGGCAGTAAAGTTTGTGTGCCTCAACCCCTTTCCAGCCTTTGGGAGAGACTGCATTGATGTCACTACCTTGTGAATTGCAATGCACTGTTCAAATATGTATAGTTAGTAATGAGTCCTTAGGTCACCATTGGACTTGTGTACAGGGGAGAGAGAGAGAGAGAGAGAGAGAGAACCATGTGACATTTCTCCAGCAAGGAGAAGAGGACAGCTTACATTCTGTCTGCTTGCCATTATTTTGAGGATATATAAGTTAGACTTCATCACTTTGATGAGCATTAAGCTACTGCAAATAGATCTATGCCGCCATTAATTTAGACTTTTGGTGCCAAACTGATAGAATGCTCTGCACACACAGAATTCTATGACATTGAAGAAGGCAAGTGGTGTCTATAAAACAACAAACTTCCAACTTAGTTGGCATCCTCAATACATTGCAATAAAATTTATAAAGTCAAAAGGACACATCACAATAATTTTCTTACAATAGATTAGTATGGTGAGGTGCAGCTGTCGTTCCAAGCACAAACTAGTCAAAATCCTTGGTTTGTTTTCTGTGATGACAATGATTCACAGTGTTTTGTTTGACCAAAAAATACATACTACCTTCCATTTGTTCCATCATTTCCAAACTATATGACAGGCCCTGTGGCTGCTGTAACACACAACCACACAAATCCTGAAGACACTCATCCATCTCACAACATTGCCACTTCTGCCAAGAACAGATGCCACAAGATCACTTGAGTTTTGGTGAGAGATACTGGGTTTCATCTTATTCATTTGTTCAAGAAGACTTCGTTCATAAATATGCCTACCGTAGCATACGCGCATTATATATATATAATGCCTCGGAAAGGTCTTGTTGGGCTCGCCGCTCAAGCTCTTCGTGTTTAATCGGCGTCGAACATGAGCACTCCAGGCAACCGGCGTTTGGTTCCGCAATGCTGGTGGAGGCTTCCGCGCCGGCGGGCACTGTGAAGGTGCAGGAATTTGGTGCCTCGATGAGGTTGGCGCATGATGAACATCGTCGTCGTTGATGGGATTAAGGAGCAAGAAAATAATTGAAAATAAAATGTTATAATACAATTAAAAAAGAAGACTTCTAATAAAAAAAATAAAATAAAATTAAATAAATGATAAGGCTAAGGACACTTACAAAATATTTTTAAATGTACTTTTTTTTTTCATGAATCATTATCCTATTTATAGAATCTAATGGTAATCATCGTCTCAAATCACTCGTGACTAAGTCAGATATAGAAACTATCCCAATAATAATAACTTTTTTAGATCATATGCTAAGTAATGATTTTCTATCTTTTTTTCGTCATGTGAGGCGACTCTTCTTGAGGAGATGAGTTATTGATGTGATCGATAAACAAAAATGTATATATCTTTTATCCTATTTTAGTTCCGATTAATTTAGTTTCAATTCATCGTGGGTGAAAAAAGATACATTATAATTATAAGTTTAGTGAATATAAATTGAAAACTTAACTAGAGGTACTAATAGTGTTGATTTTATAAGTGTCATCGAGTATAAAATATTAAGTGATTTAATAAGAAAATATTTTATTTATATCCTATTGATGTGACATGCTCAATTAGTGCATTATCATCTTCGAGTTAACTAATGCGACGTTGGGTTTTCATTGATTAAAATTCGTTGTTATATTATTTGCCCCAATTATGCTTTGGTTAAGGGTTTATCTCATTCCAAAGTGTAATGTTTATCTCATAACCTATTATGTATTTTAAAAAATGATTGTGTAGTCTCCAATGTCTTTTTGTCTTAGATACATCATACATAAATATGCTTTTACTCCATCAAATACTTCGTATGTATTTTATTTTTATCTTAGATAGATATATCACACATAAGGAGACACCTTGATCATATCTTACCATTCAAACACTTTTTTAATGTTTGACAAACACATTATACATAAAGAGATACTTTAACTATTTCCAATGCTTGAAATGTTTTTTCGTCTAAAGTGTTTTTTCATTAGAAGCATATGTATCATGCATAAGAGGACGCTTTGGCCTTGATGATCATGTCAAGTGCTTCAAATATTTTTTTCTCTAATTAGGATATATCAGATATGAGGATACATCTTAGCTACAACAGACATATTTGTGCTTTAGGCATAACAATTCATTTTACTTATGTCATTAATTTTAATATAAACATATAATTGATACATTAGTACCGAGAAATCTTTTTCTCGTTGGGGAGTATGTATGTTGAATTCCTAGAGAATGTATAATTCTCTATGCCGATGAGGTGTGAGAAGATTAAGCATTTTTGACCAATTGGGTTAGGTTAGGTGTTTCTATCTTAATATGTTATCATTAACATATTAATAGAGTTCTAATAGAGTTTGATCCGATCATTTTTTAATATGTTATCATTAACATTAACATCAAAGTATGGATGGCTCGATGGCAAAAGTACTATTGTGCAATCATTTGACACCATATTTTAATTTTAATTGAGACGCTTTTTATATATTTTTTAATTATATTATATATTAACTAGCATAAGTTAATATCCATTTTGATCATCAAGACTATTTAATTTGACGATACAATCGATTAGAGGATACGATCTTTTTAAGAATATAGACTAATTATTTTAAGAAAGTAATTGATTGGAAGATACCATCATCTCAAAGGATATGATCAATTTGAAGACTAAATAAGGTTGAGAACATTCCAAAGGTATCGACGCAGTCGTCTTAGTATCAAATGAGATGATTAACTTGAAGACACGATCGACTTAAAAAGGATAATCATTATCGATACGAGCGAGTAGGGTGTGAGGCTATCAATTGGTTTCATCCCAACAGCCCCTACTGAAAAAATTCGTAGGGTGTGAGACTATCAGTAGGGTGTGAGGCTATCACATGAAAAAATTCTTTACATGGAAGATAATAACAGTTGAAAACATACAAAAAGTAAAATTGGATACGGGTGTCGAAACACACTAATCTAATTTAGGTATGATATCATTAGATTCACTTAACCTTAATCGAGGATATAAATCCTTATTTTAATTTTTTTTTATGAGACATTAGATTCACTTGAGGAAGACCAAAAATTCTTAGGAAAAGACGATTGAATATTGGAAGTCTCATCTAATAATTCTTTTATAATTAAAATAACGTAGTTGATGACATAATCCTATCCTATAATTAAACACAATAACGATTAAACAAGTTCATAATCTCAATCGATTCCGGAATCAACGTCCAAATAGAGGCCTAAAGTCAATGCAATTGACCTCTAGAACTATTAAGGCACACCCTGATCAAATTCTAATCAAGAAAGCTAACATTTGCTATTTAATTATCTATATTTTCTCTCATCAATTTTGGGTGATAAGTTTTGTAGCATCTCTCTCGCTCGAGTGTGGTCGTTCTGATGCATTCTCGGGAATGTATATAAAAGGAACCTTCGTTTTCCATAGGAGACGAATGAGAGAACCTCTCAACTACAAGTCTACAAATCCATTGAATCCGTCGTAGGAGGCATCAATATAATTTTTAGTCTTTAAACTTGTTTAATATGGCGTTCTTCTAAATTGCTATTTATTATTAAGGTTGTTGATCGCTTTTGCCATTAGTCACATGAATGATCGAGATTGATAGAACTTTTTGATCTAATCCCAAAAGCACTCAACATTCTAGAGGTCTAATGTAGTCGAAAGAGAGGTTCATGCGACCGTTGGGTAGTCGAGGAAAGTGATTGATCTATATGAAGATCTAGGTTAAGTGAATTTTTTGATATGATCCCTTCAATGCTCAAATAAGTAAAAGAACAACAAAATTGAAGAATTTTTAGTAAAAAAATAATTGACCTCGATTTCATTAACTCGATGACGTTTTATATTTGATTTACTCAAGAAGAATAACTATCGTGAGGTAGGGTCCAAGTATTCCGTTAAACTTTAATTTCAATATTTTCTTAATTTTTTATTTTGGATTGATGTCTATGGGATCCAATTATTAATCGAGACCATGTATCGAGTCGTGATGGAGCAAATATAGATCGATTGATCGGTAATTCTATAAATTTGAGTTACGACATTATATCTTTCAATTAAATTTGTTATCCAACATAATATGTAAGTCAACTTTTATTTATTTTTATTTGGAAAAAAACAATATAGCTTATTATTGCCTATTTTTCGTTGGCGTCGACTTATCCTTTTATTGCTTTTCCAATAAATTATAATTTTAATACATATTGGTATAATAATTATATTATTTTTATTCATATTTTTTATAAAGGGTAAAAGCGGTCAACATATTATTTTAATCCCAAAAAGAAAACTCACTATAGGTAGTCAAAATCTATATTGGATAAATTAAGTTAAGCGCATTCTTATCCTCCTTCAAATAAACTGATTTATTTGAATTATCGAGAAAAATTGATTTAAGCTTCCTCGCCGTTCTCCCTATACAAAAGCCACCATCCATCATCTCGGTCATGGCGACTCTTTCCTCCGGTGAGGTCAAGAAGCAGAGCTTCCTCAAATCAAAAATCTGGGCCGCAAGAATACTCCTCACCAATGTCACTCATGCAGAACTGTAAGTGTCTCTTTGGTTCCAACAGCGTCGGTATAGATAGATCATTGCTTCCCGAGCCGATAATTCCACGCGGTCATGCAGGCTGGCCAAAGAAGCAACGAGAAGCAAGCCATGGCCGCCGCAGGACACGGGGACGCTGCATGACATTTCAGAAGCTACTTTCGACATCGATGATTTCTTCAGAGTCGTGGACGTTCTGCACGACAGGTTCGCCTTCGCCTCGTCCTCTTATCTTGTTCCGCCTGAGGAGCTCTCAAAAGTTGTAGCGTGGACAACAGGTTCGAGAAATTTAATGAGAAGCAATGGAAGAAAGGCTACAAGGCTCTGATACTGCTGGAATACCTTCTGACGCATGGGCCACTGAGCTTTGCAGATGAGTTGGAGAGCGATAAGGAAGTGATACAGAAGATGTGCAGCTTCCATTGCTATGATGAAATGGGGTGAGCACGCCGAACTATAAGATTCTGATGGTGTTATGTATCGTGTACTGTGTTGCCATGTTTAGCTCTGCTCATGGTGGGTTGTGTTGTGCAGGCATAATTGGGGGTCGATGATGAAGAAGAAATCAGAGAGGGTGCTGCAGCTGATGGAGAAGGGACCATTCCAGAAAGAAGAGCGCGACCGGCTCCGACAGACTACTCGGAGGATTCAAGGCTTTGGTAACTCCAGTTCCGATTGTCCACTCCCCGGCAGGGCTGAAGAGGCCTCAGAAGTGAAGCACCCAAAAGAGGATTAGGAATGGTTGCTTTGAGTGAGAGTACATGCGACAGTGGCAAGAAAGTTCTGCGCCCCAACTCCTTCCCAGCATTTGGGAGTGTGAGATTTAGCCTTTGTTTAGAAACCAACTCAATGAAGTCGGTGATTTAAAACCAAAATAAATACATGAATTATTGTTGTTGTAAGATTATCGAGAGAGTAGAATAATTTAAATTTTAAAAAAATTATTATTATGTCTCTTTTTTCGCTCGTCTATCTTTCTTACTCTTTATTAATATTGTATTTTTATCTAATATTTAGGAGTAATTATTTTTCAGTTTTTAAATTTAAGTGAAGTCAGCATCAAGGGATTGCTGATGAGGAGGGAACATATATGATCAAAGACAAAAAATCCACTAAAATTATGAATCTTCACTCAGCACATAGGCACTTCCAAGCTGCTTTGTATTGATAGGAATCAGTGACAACAAGCTCTGCTAACAGTAGGGCAAGAATAGGAGATCACTCAGTAGAAAGAAGAGGGTGTGATAAAAGACAAAAAGTGTGATAGAACTCTGTCACACAACTCTAATAGCATATGACAATTTTCATTTACCAGTTGAATCAACTTGATTCAGATTGTTCGCCTTTACATTCCCAAAATATGGCCTATACATGATTACAGAGTCTCCACCAAAGCTTAACCAGAATGGCACAAAGTCTTACTTCGAAAAAACAGAGAAGCTCTTTGCGTCTCTGTGGTCCTCTATAACTTTTTTTCGTTGTCTGTACCTCTATTTACAGACAAGATCTCCATATTTGTCCTTCCAAAGATATGACGATGATGGAAACATCATCATGATACTGTCGTCGGTCACCTTGTGGAATTTCGAGCAATTCGTGGAAGTCCATACCTGCAATAGAAGCACAGAAACCTTGATCGGTCGATACAGCAACTTCCACATTAAAACCCATTGTTGTTTGTATTATTTTGAAAATCCTTTACCTGCTTTCTTCGCAGCACGAAAAATGACTTCTTCAACAAGGTGTTGAGCAGGATCTCCTTCAGGTGTTGTTTCGATAAACATTTCAATCTGAGCAACTGCTTCTTCGTTAGTGAAATACTGATAGAGTCCATCAGATGATAGTATCAAAAATTTGTCCTTGGGACCAAGCTTATGATGGTAGAGGAACGGATTGCACGTGAGGTACGGAGAGGTTCCAATGTAATCAATTCTGAACATCTCCAGCAATGCGTTGTTCCATTTGGGCTGCAGAAAGTAATGAGGATCTTAACATAGTCGTCCCAGTTCATAGTCACAGAATTAGCAAGCAAAATTAGTATGTACTCACTGGATGAAAAATAAAAGACTGATATTATCTTAGAAGATTTCAGTGTGATCTACTAAAGAGTGCCAATGTCATGACATAATCTGTTGATCAATTGATTGATTAAAGAGAAGTTCATCTTATACTAGTCCGGAAGGCCAGAATATGTTTTTCTCTTTTTGTTCATTCCAAACCAGCATGTCTACTAAATTGATGAATCTCTATATTTTGACACAATCTGTGGTTTCATAACGAATCTCCTAAAATTTGTCAGAAGGTGAATTTTTGATCAGCTACTCAGTAAGCCAATTAAGTTAACCTGTTCATTTCAGAAGGCGCTAATCCGAACTTACATTCTAATGATATCAGCTAGCATATAAACATTCACAAGGCAATCATTCTGATACCTAATTGTATCATATGCTTAAATACATTCTTGTCAACTCTTTCTCCAGATTAGGCCCACACTAATGGATTCTTATCATTAAGCTTAAGCTACTTTGGATCCAAGTGCTGTACCAAAGATCCACCTCTTGCCTAAATCAGCTTCCGTCAGATTTATTTGATTGATTTAGGTCTTTGGAGACAAATCGGATGGCTCAAATTGCCGATGGCAACAACTGAGAAGAAAAAAAAAACTACATGTTTTGGTTCATGTAGTTGAGAAAAAAATCGGATGGCTCATGTAATTTTTGGATCGGATGGCTCATGTAATTTTTGGAGCACAAGCTGGCCTTTGGAACTTGATGTTTTGGTTCATGGTGATGTGAATGGTTGTGTGCTTTTCAGTTATATTTAGTAAAGTTTAGTTTTTGCTTTTGGAAAAAAAAACAATTGAGAAGAAAAATCATGTTCTCTCTTCCACAAGTAATCATTTAAACCTATTTACATTTCTTGTATTAATTATGAATACCAACAAAATTGACTTGCATAAAAAGCTATCATGTTCTCTGCCAAGACGAGAACAAGATGATAAAATCTCAACATCAGCAGCTTCAAGTGGCACAATGCCCATTAATTGACATTGACCAAGAGATAGATAGCTTTCAAAATCACTTTTTCTAGGGATGAAACCTTATCTTCTGTTACTAAACCATATTTCTGTCCCAAGGTGAGTAACACATGAAATCATCTCAAAGTCAGCAACTCCAAGTGGCACAAGGCATTTCTATGCATGGACCTACAAAAGGATTTCGATCTCACATTCTTAGCAATGATATCATTGCGAAATCCATATTATTATTAATGATATAACCACATATCAAGTATCAGCAAGCATGATTCTCTACTGTATAAATACCCGATGGTTGATCTTAGAGATGCCATAATAAATGCCAGTTCAAGTGCCACCAGAACTACAAGCTCACACGATAAAGCATTAAGTGTATTAAGATGACAACAATCAAACCTGCTTCAAGAAGCCAGCACCAAAAGCTCTTGTGACCTTCAATGATCCTTTCACACGATTGTTTGAAATGGCCAACGAATCATCAGGGTGTTCGCTTTTTATTCTACAAACTTCCTGGAATTCATAAGCAATTTAGTTCTAAAGTTTACATATAAATTTCTCCAAGAATAGAAAAGGAAATGTATGAATACCAAATCAAATTACTACCTCTTCAACAGAAGTGCTATGATCCAAAGTCAGCTGTGTGGCCTCTAAATTTGGGAAGCATTTTAATCCATCGAAAACTTCAATATCACTCACAATCTCTTCATTGATTTTGTGAAGATCCAGCTTCGGCTTCCTGATTGAACTCCAAGAATCTGACTCTGCCTTCTGTGCTAAAATCGCACGGCTATCCCCGACGTTCATTAAATACACATCATCCCCCTTCAACAGCATCACTAAAACACACGATCCCATCAGTGCAAGCTCAGGGTTCTCAGATATCATCTTATCTGCAATATCTAAATAATTTTCCTCGGTCTTCCTCAGAGCTTGAGAGAGAGCCTTCAGTACTTGAGAGTGATTGACTTCACCGGATGAGCACAACTGGCTCGATTGCTCCTTAAACACACAGTCAACATCCAATCTTTCACCCTCCCGCTCGCAATTTGATCTCTCCTGCAACTTCTTCCTTTTAGTAGAGCTCTGCTTGTCTTCTTCGCAGCATCCAAATTCCTCGATGTACACACGGGCAAGCGGATCATGGATAGGCCCGGAAAGGGAATCTTCTTTATCATGCCAGAGAAGTCCCTTGAGTTCTTGGTGCACGGCGAAGTACAGATTTGAGAGGAGGTAATCAGTGGCATCAGGGCCATTGAAGCCGTCGTAGATGCCTACGAAGACCCAACCGTGCTCCTCCGAGACGACGACATGGATTCGATCCTCCCCTGCTTTCCCTTGCGCCCATTGAAGAGTGCCGTTCCGGGAGTCAGACGAATCCGACCACTTCCCACCCTCCACGCTGTTCCTGCCGCTGCTGTTACTGAGATTTCTGGAACTCGAGTCGGCCAAGTCGGGAACTTTCGGTACCTTGGTGGATCCGCGCCCCGGGGCGGTGGCGTAGATGGTGCGGGTAATGGCTTTGGTGAGGCCGCGGAGGAGTGAGGCGGCAGCGGCGGCACGACGGGGCGTGGGGAGGCCATGGGACAGGCTACGGAGCAGCTGGCCGGTAAGGGAAGGGGGCTTCTCGAGGGGGCCAGAGAACAGGGCGGCGCGGTGGTCGAGCGGCCCGGACATGAACCCGCGCTCGATAGGGCCCGACATGAACCCCCGATCGGCGCCAGCGGCGATCGGACCGGAAAGGGGCCCGGAGAAGCGGGGGACGGGCTGGAGCGCGACGGAGGAGAAAGATGTGGAGCTCTCAAACGCCGCCGATGTGGGGACCGCGCCCTCGCCGGCGCAGTCGACGAGGTGGGGCACGGTGGAGAGCGGCGTGGACGGATTGGCGCTCACGGATGCGCCAGAGATGGCGCGGAACGTGGTCGTCTCCTCCGAGTGGTGGACCTTCGAGGAAGCTACAGCTGCGGCGGCGGCGGCGGCGGCGGAGGACGTGAGACCGCCGCCGCAGGAGTCGGGCCGGACGTAGCAGAAGGAGTGACCGAGACCCTCATCGTAGAATTCCGAGGTGACAGCCGCGGCGACGTGGCGGCCGCGGTGGCGCGGGAATCCGCCGCAGCAGAAGCAGCGGGTCAACCTCGCGTACCCGTTCCCCATCACAAGAGAGATAAAGAAGAGAATTCGAGCCGGAGGAAGAAGAAGAAGAAGAAGAAGAAGAAGAGGTAAAGGGAGAGGGC